TGTATGTCACAGCATAAGTGTGGTTAAAAGAAAATTGTTGAGGCTGGAGAGATGGCTCATAGTCCCAGCACCCACATGGCAGCTATGAACCGTCCTTAACTCCAGTTCCAGGGGAACTCGAAGCCCTCTTCTGACCTCCACAGCATTGCATGACACAGGTGCACTCACATACATGCAGGCAATACACTCATACACATAAAATAAAATTTAAAAAAAAAAGAAAACTGTTGAGTTGGGGCTGGAGAGATGGCTCAGCAGTTAAGAGCACTAGCTGCTCTTGCAGAGGACCTGGGTTCAGTTTCCAGCACCCATTGGCAGCTAACAATCAGGGAATCAGACACCCTCTTCTAGTCTCCATGGGCACTGCAAACATGGTGCAATTATATCCATACAAGAAAAACACTCATACACATAAAATAAATTTTTAAAAACTAAGAAAAATTAAAACAAAATAACCTAACACACAAAGTCAGTTCTCTCCTACCTTTACGTGGGTTCCAGGGATCAAACTCAGATTTTCAGGTCTTTTGTGGCAAGCACCTTTACCTGCTGAGCCATGTTTGCTGGCCCCCTTACTCGTTATTTACCTACCTACCTAACACTAGTAAGCATCATCTTAGTCCTTCAACAAGTATCTTTTGTGCTGAAACTTTGGGGCTTAACAGGTATAAGAGAATAAATGACTTTCAGACTGTGAGATTGACACACTGCCCACTGCACCAAGAGGCCAATGAGAGGACAAAATCAAAGTATGCACTTCCAATGAGGGCCTCAAAACTCACCAACTATTAATGGCTTGGGAGCAGCGTTCTCTGTGGAATCTCCAAAGCCCAGTGTAAAAGCTGGCATGCCACCACAGGTCGGTACATTATTTGTGGAAAGGTGAAATGGATGTTCTAGAACCGTAAGAAAGCATTTTTTTTCCTTATGGAAACCTAAGAAAAAACAGTCCCAGGACTGAACTACTAACTTATCAATCCAGGGTACTCCTCCTGACCTTGCAAATGAATATGAAATTCTCAATGAACACAAATGAATTTTGTATGAATTTTTAAAATTACATTTATTTGTGTGTAAGCAAGTGTGCATCCCACAACATGCCTGGAACCCCTAAGAATCAATTCTCTCCTTCCAACTTGTGGATCCCAGGGATCAAACTCAGGCTCTTGAGTCATATTGCTATTGCCAGCCCTTCAGCTTCTTGAAAATATATTCTAAATTATGTATGTTTGTGTATGAGTTTATACAGGTGAGTACAGTGCTCCGAGGACAGAAGAGGGTGTTGGAGACTCTGGAGTTGGAGTTATAGGTAGTTGTAAGCCACTTAATGTGGGTTCTGGGATAGGACAAGAGCAATATATACTCTTAACCACTAAGCCATCTATCTCTCCAGCCCCCACACCTTATTTTTTTGGTCTTTTTTGAGACAGGGTCTCCCTGTAGTCTCAGCTGGCCTGGAACTCACTATGTAGACTGGGCTGGTCTCAATCTCAAGAGATATGCCTGCCTCTGCCTCCAGAGCTGGGATTAAAGGCATGTGCCACCATGCTTGGACCAACACCTTACTTCCTGAGACATGGTCCCTCACTAAACCTGGAGCTGATTCAGGAGGCCAGTGAGCTCCAGTGATCTGCCTATCTCCACCTCCCCAGCACTGGGATTAGAGACATGTACCTGGCTTCTAATACAGATACAGGGGAATCTCAATTCAGGTTTTCATGCTTTCATGACAAACTCTTTAAGGCTGAGCCATCTCCCCTACCTCCAATTAAAATTTTTTTGTTACAATTTATTTATTTAGTTCATACTGGTGTGTATGTGTGTGGGTGTGCTTGTACCACAGTACTTGCATGGAGGTCAGAGGACAACATTTTGGGAGGCTGTTTTCTCCTTCTTACCATGTGGGTCCAGAAGATGTTTTCCAGCTTGGCAGCAGGCGCCTTTACTTGCTAAGCCATCTCAATGGCCTTTTTTCTGTTTTTTTTTTTTTTTTTTTTTTTTTTTTTTAAAGATTCTCAAATAGCCCAGGCTGGTCTGGAATTCCACTTGTAGTTGGAGATGACCTTGAACTCCAGATCCTTTTTGACTCCACTTCCCAAGAGCTGGGATTGTAAGAGTGTGCCACCACCATAGGCTTATAAATATTTAGGATTTCGTTTTGTGACAAATACTCTATAACCCAGGATGGTGTGGCCTGGAACTATGTAGCCCAGGCTAGCCTTGAAGTTAGAGCAATTCTCCTGCCTTAGCCTCCTAATTGCTAGGTTACAAGCTGAGTCACCATGCCCAATCTAAGTGCATTTTTTCTGATAAGAGGGACCACAACCTTCACTGACTTCTCAAGAATATCAATCTCAATATCTCTCTCTCTCTCTCTCTCTCTCTCTCTCTCTCTCTCACACACACACACACACACACACACACACAAATTAAGTCAGGTGTGATGCATCACACCTGTAATCCCAGTACCCGGAAGGCTAGGACAGAAGGACTGTCAAGAATTCAAGACCTATCCTGAGTTACATAGTGCATTCTAGGTCAGTTTGGGATATGGAAACCTTGTCTCAAAAAACAAAATCAAACAAAATGCATAACTGAAACTGTTATGCTAAATTAAGTTGTAGTGTTAACCTTTCTTTTTTTTTTTTTTTTTTTTAAGACAGGGTCTATGTGGCCCTTAGCTGGTCTGGAATTCAGCATAAAGACCAGGCTGGCCTCAAACTCACAGATCTGCTTGCCTCTGCCTCCTGAGTGCTGAGATTGAAGACCTGTGCCACACCCACCTTTCTTTTCTTTTCTTAAATCTACACTTCCACGCAGCAGTCTCTGCTAAAACTAATGCAACTGGAGAAGATGCTAGAGGGTCACAAAAAAAAAAAAAAAAAAAAAATCTCATTTTATTTTTTTTTATGTGCTTTGCCAGCATGTAAGTACATCTGTGCATGCAATGCCCACAAGGTCAGCAGAGTATGTTGGATTCCCTGGAACTGGAGTTATGGAAGGTTGTTAGTTGCCATGTGGGTGCTGGGAACCTGGGTCCTTTGCAAGAGCTGCCAGTGCTCTTAACTGCCATCTCTCCAGCCCCTAGAATTTGCACTGAAGATTTTTCTACAATTGAGCCATAACAATGTGCATGCCTTTAATACCAGCACTTTGGAAACAGGAAGATCAGGCGTACAAGGCCAGCCTAGGCTACAGGAGACCCTGACATAAAACCAAACAAAACAATATATAACATAGATTTTCTTTAACTGGAAGAGTCCTTACCCAGAATTCTTCAAAAACTAGTGCATGGGCCAGAGGACAACGCACCGGGTAAAAGTGCTTGCCATCAAGCCTGAACACCTGAGCTCCATGGCCAGGACCCTCTTGGAAGGAGAGAACCAACTTCTAAAAGTTGTCACCTGACTTCCACATGAATGTCATGGGGTACTCTTGCCCACACCCACTAAATGAATTTTAAAAACCAGGCCGGGTGTAGTGGCACATGCCTTTAATCTCAGCACTGGGGAGGCAGAGGCAAACAGATCTCTGTGAATTGGAGGCCAGCTGGGTCTACATAGCCAGTTCCAGGCCAGCTGGGATTACAGGGAGCCCGTCTCCAAAAAGATCCTCCCATCAAAACCCAAAATCCAAATAACTAGTGCCTTATTCTAATGTATGCTGAACTGGCAAATCAGGGTATTTAATATACTGCCTGCTAAAGTGTTCAAGAAAATATGTTCTAAGCCAAATGACAAAAGAAATTTTTACTGTCAGCTTATTAAATGAAATAGGGAAAAGTCCAGGATCATCCAGAGTTCCAGGAAAGCTTTTTGCTTTCTTTTCTTACTGTATGAATACGCCAAAACATAAGGAGACGCATTTAACAGCTCACCAACCACTAAATTCAATTTTAGGAATATGTTAATGATTACCAGTAAGGGATAAGCATTAAAGAATTTTTTTAAGAAGAAAAGGTTTCGCTTGAACTAGAAAGTAGTTCACTAGACAAAAAAAAAAAAAAAAAAAAAAAAAAAAAAAAAAAAAAAACAAGTGTTCTTAGTATAGTGCAGATTACATTTGTAGCACTGAATATACAGACAAACCTGGAGCGGTGGCCCAAGGGCATGTGGCCCCTTCAGGCTGAAAGAATAATTACTTTGCGGGATGTGGTGGTGCATGCCTTTAGTTCCAGCACTTGGGAGGCAGAGGCAGGCTGATCTCTGTTTGTTCAAGGCCAGCCTGGCCTACACAGCTAGTTCCAGGCCGGTTGGAGATACAGGGAGACCCTGTCTCGAAAAGACCCCCCCGCAAAAAAAAAAAAAAAAAAAAAAGGTTACCTTGAGTGCTACTTGCAGCGGTGCACGCCGTGCTCACACAAAGATTTGTCATTTATTACATAAAGCATGCCTGGGTAAAGCAGATCCAACGAGGATACTTTAATCGCTGAACTAAAGCAGCGGGCAAGTCTGGAGAGGCAGACCCACACCAGGACAAGGCCCAGTGGGAAAACAGACTGCTGAGCCCTGGGGAGCGCTTGCAGCCGCGCCGGCCCCGGCTCCCGCAAGCCACCGATGCCCGGGAGAAGCCCCGGCTTCCGCTGCGCCGGCGCCCCGCAACCCACCTGCCGCCAGGCCAGCCTCGCTGGTCCAGGAGCCCACTCCTCGCCCGTCCCTAAGGCTGCGGCTGCCTGCTAGCTCGCCGGCGACCAAGCTGTGGTGCAGACCTCCCCCTCCACCGACCCGGCGACGCTTCACCCGGGATACTACTTGCCCCGGCCCGTCCACGCCGCCACCAGGCGCCGCTGTGGCGCCGCCCTCCAGAATTCACGGAGCCTGCCCTAATCTCGACGCTTTTCATTTAAAGCGAAGGGGCGAGGGCCGTCCGCGCAGGCGCGCCCCTGACGCGGCCTGCGCTCGCCACTTCCGCCCCGAACGTGAGGCGGGGGAGGCGAGAGGGAGCCGGCAGGCGCGAGCGCATGTCGTCGGACTCGGGCGCTACACTGGCCTGTGACTCACCAAGTATAACGGCTGCCAGCGACACTGAGCATCCAGGTCCTCGAACTCCAGCTCGATGGTGGCCGACATGTCGGCGGAAGAACGCGAACGCTAGCGCGAGCCGAACCTCCACAGCCGAAACACTCGGGCCCCGCTCTATCCGGGGAGAGCGCTGGCGCTCTGGCGCATGCGCGGTCCGCGTACCGCCCTGCTCCCCCCCCCCCCCCCCCCCCCCCCCGACGCCGAGTCCAGCGGGCCTAGGGGAAAGTACCTGGAACGTCCGACGTCAGCGCGCCACCTCGTAGACGTGTGGTCGGACGTCGGGAAGGGGCGGGGCTGGTATTCGGGAGGCGTGGTCCAGAGAGTGCCCAGGTGGGAGGGGCGGGGCCGTGCGCCCCCCTGGAACTGCTTTGGTTTGTGTCTGGTCCATAGGGTTGGAGCTGGTGAGAAAGTCGCCTGAAAGTCACCGCCCTGCTGCCCCAGTTCTTTTCTCCTTAGTCTTCATTTTAAAAACTGCAGTAAATATTATTTAATGGTCAGTGTTCAACTTTAGAACACATTTCATAGCCCTGATGTGTCAGTTCTAACAAGTTTTGTCCCAAACCACTATTGGAAAAGGCAACCTCCCTTGGCATTTGAGAGAATAAATCTTATTTAGAATATGTCCCATAGCTTTAAAGTTAGTGTTATTTTTACAAAGATTATCTAAGTCCTCTTTTACCAAACGACTGGTTCCGGAAATCATTTTGCCTCAGTATTAAGATCACTTACTGAGCTCATGAGCTTAAATCATACCATCTGATAATCATAAATATGAAGAAATATGTTTCCAAGCCTTTTGGCCAAGATCGAATGAAGAAATGTAAAACTATAGAAAAGCGCTGTGTTGTCCAATATTGAAATTAAAATTGTATCTATGTTTAATTAACTCAGTTCTGGAGTTGGGAGTGTAGTGAAGCCTTGTGTTCATCCCCAGCACTAAAAAAGAATAAACCCAAAAAATACAGAAGTTTACAAGATTCTCAGTGAATGTCATCTCAATCAAAAGTCCCCTGTACCTCCAGGACTTTTAGTGTTTGTTACCCTCAGGATTTATTTATCTATCATCTATTTATTGGTACTGTGGATTGAACCCAGGGCCTTGCATATGTTATGCAGGCACTCCATCACTGAGGTATGGCCCCAGATAGTATTACTATTATTATTATTATTACTGTTCTTATTATTTTGGTTATTTTTGAAACAAGGTCTCCCTGTAGCCTCAGCTCGCCTGGAATTCATTCTGTAGATCAGGCTGGCCTCTATCTCTCCAGTAACCAAGATTAAAGTTGTGCACCAACCCGACTGACTGTCTTATATTTAGGTTATATATTATATGTTTTTTGTTTGTTTTTTTTTTGAGGGGCTGGTGAGATGGCTCAGTGGTTAAGAGCTTTGTCTGCTTTTGTTCTCAGCACCCACATAGCAGCTAACTCCAGTTGCTTAACTCCAATTCTAAGGGATCCAGTACCTTCTTCTGGCCTTTGTGGGCACTGCATGCATGTGTTGCGCTTACACACATGCAGGCAAAACACAAGTAAAATAAAAATAAATAAAATATTTTGAGACAGGGTTTCACTAAATTCAGGCAGCTAACTTTTAACTTGTTGTGTAGCGGAGGCAAGCCTTGTACTTCCTGTCCTCCTGCCTCAGCCTCCAAGTAGCTGTGATTACAAGCCTGGCTTCTGTGGCTTGTGTTTGGTTTGGTTTAGTTTGTTTTGATAGGGTCATACATTATAGTACAGCCTGGCCTTAAACTTGGTATCCTCCTACCTCTGCCTGCCAATTACAGGGATTATAGGCATGTAATATCATATCTGACAATACTATTATATTGATGAGAAGATAAACAAGCTGATTAGTCAAACTAAATCTAGAAACAGACTCACACATATACAGTAACTTGGTGTGTGTATATTTCACAATGGCTAACAACTGGGAAAATGGTGGTGTCTTCCGTAAATGCTGCTGGATCCAAAAGAGGAGAACATATATTATATGGCTCTATTTGCAAGACTTTGAAGAACAGGGAACAGAATAGTGATTAACTCTGGGGCAGCAGGGCAGGTGTGAGGGTATTGGCTAGGAAGGAGCATGGCAATTGCTCTGGGGTCCTAGAAATATTTTATATCTTGATATGGGTGATAAGTACACTATTATATATAATATACACATAGTTTGTGTAGTATGTACTAGCTGTGTGTGTAAGATTTTTCAACTTTATGCTAACCTCAATAAAATTATAAAAATAAAATAAATTGTGCTATTTTACTGAGAACTGGAAATCACACATAGTATCTACGTAATAGGCTAATGCTAGTGAATATAACAAGACTGTATTGCTTCCAAAGCCACATAATGCACTTTGAGTCTCTAAAATGGCTAGCAAGCCCAGAGTACAGCTACAAACCATGTGTGATTGAGATTGGGACTCTACTCATATTTTGTAGCCATGAAGTATATCTGATACTTGGGTTTTACAGAATGGCCTTCCACATTTTACCCCTGGCCCTCTGCCTCTTGGCACGTGTTAGGCCATTAATATGTCTAACAGGAAAGACTACAAAGACCAAGTAAATTATGGCTCTAAAAAAATCTGGCTGGCATGGTGGTATGCACCTTTAATCCCAGCCCTCAAGAGGCAGAGGCAGGTGAATCTCTGTGAGATGGAGGCCACCACGGTTCACATCTTGACTTCCAGGCGGGCTAGGACTAGGGAGACCCTGTCAAAAAACAATGAACAAAAAACAACAGCAACAAAATCAATCAGCTAGGTATGGTGGCCCACAGCTGTAATCCCAACAGCCAGGAGGCAAGGCAGGAGGATTGGGAGTTAAGGCAAGCCTCAGCTCTATGAGACTCTATCTCAAAACAACAAGAAAAGCGTCTTTCAAAGATAACTTCCTAGCTCAACTGTGAAGATGTGTTGTAGGCCTCAAAATGAATTATCATGACATCTGAATGAACTGGTTATCAATTTATTGACCTTAGGCTCCAAAATTTTCCTGGTTTTGGTTTCACTATGTAGCCCTGACTGACATGGAACTCTATGTAGACCAGGTTGGCCTCAAATTCATAGACACTCACCACCTATGCCTTGAGTGCTGGAATTAAAGGCATGTGCCCTCTTTCCCAAACCCAAATCCTCCCTTTTTTAAAAAATATTTTATTTGTTATTTTTATTTTATGTGTATGAGTGTATTGCCTGCATGTATGTGAGTGCACCCATTGTGCAATGCCTCAGAGGTCAGAAGAAGGCTTTGGATTCCCTTGGAACTGGAGTTAAGGATGGTTCATAGCTGCCACGTGGGTGCTGGGAATTGAACTTAGATCCTCTGCAAGAGCAGTCAGCACTCTTAACTGCTAAGCCATGCCCCAAATTCTCCCTTTTTAAGAGCCCTCTCTGTAAGAATGGATCTGGGCCCTTTGCCTGGTGGCACCTTATACGCTTTCTCAGTAGAGGGCAGTGGAGAGACACTTCTGGAGAAAAACCAGCTTCTAGTTTCCCTTGTTACTTGGCAGGCTTATCACCCCTGGAGGCTCTGCAACAGTCAGCAGCATCCCCTCACCCCGTGTCCCCCACATCCTATTCCTTAGGATGTTTTGGAGCATAATATCTTCAGTGAGCCATATCTCCATGAACAATTTTCCCATATACCTTAGAGAGATGATTTGCAACAAGCTCTAGTGGGCAGTTAACTGGTGGAATGATGACCTTCCCAAATATGTCTTCCTAGAACCTGTGAATGTGGCTTTCCATGGAAAAAGGACATTTGCGGCTGTATTTAGGTAAGTAGTTTAAGATAAGATCATCCCAGGTTGGAAAGAGATGGTTCAGCAGTTAAGAGCACTTGCAGACAACCCAGGTTCAGTTCCCAGGACCCACATGTTGGCTGTAATGCCAGTTCCAGGGGCTTCATCACCCTCTTCTGGCCTCCACGGGCACCTTGCACACATAAGGTACACATACTCCCTACATGCAGATAAAGCTATACTTAATAAAATCTTCAGGGGAAAAAAAGACAAGGTCATCCTGCATTCTTAGAGGAGCACTAAATCCAATGACAAGTGTCCTTCCAAAAGAGTAGCAGAATTAAGAGAAAATGCCACGTGAAGATGGAGGCAGATTAGGTCATGTACAAGAACACCTGGAGCCCTCAGAAGGTGGAAGAAATAAGGAAGGAGTCCCTGCTAAACACTTCACAGGAATCACAGCCCTGCAGACACTTGATTTTGGATTTCTGGCCTCTACAACTGAGAGAATAAACTTGGTGTGTATGGGTGTGTGTGTGTGTTGGGGTGGGAGGCATTGTGTGGTTGGTTTTGTTTGGTTGGTATTGGTTTTGGTCTTTTTGAGACAGGGTCTCCCTGTAGCCCCAGTTGGTATGGACTCACTATGGAAACCAGGCTGGCCTCAACCACACAGAGATCTGCCTACCTCTGCCTCCTGAGAGCTGGGGTTAAAAGCATGTACCATCACACCAAGCTTGTTTTTGAGATGGGATTTCATGTAACCAGGCTGGCTTTCACCTGGCTATGTGACTGAGGATAACCTTGAACTTCTGATTCTCCTGCCTCCATCTCCCAAGGGCTGGGGCTACAGACTTAAGCCACCACACTGGGTGAATTGCTGTTTTCTTAAGCCATCAAGATTCTTACACTTTGTTAGGACTACTAGCTGCACAAGGTTTCCAGCAAGTTCCACCAGTGCAATACCACAGAGAGTTGTCTTCCATCCAGTAAACCAGAGGCATGCCTTCTACAAAGAGTCCTAGATCTCAACTTTGCTGGAGCCCGAAGTGAGAGGAGGAAGGGAATGCTCTTGCTAGAACACTGTGCTCATCATACCTATGTGGATTCCTATGGCCTTTCGAGTTCTCTAACCTGTTTGCTAGTAAATTCTCACCACTCCAACCCACTATAGTTTTTCTTCATGCTAAAATTTTTCTGCTTAAATTATTGGTTGGGGCTGAGATTGTAGCTTACTGGTAGATTGTTTGTGTAGCATGTTCAAGGTCTCATGTTCTATCCTCAGTACCATAAACAACAACAACAAAAATTACTGAGTAGTTGCTCTCTTTAATTAGACACATTGATATTCTGCAAAATAAAAAAACTTCAAAAGTATTACAACTCTAAATGTAACTTCAGGCTAGATCTGATGGGTTGTACTTG